GCACGCACGCACGCACGCACGCACGCACGCACGCACGCACGCACGCACGGACAATCATGCGATTCTACAAGCTGCATCTGACTACGTCAGCTGAGCTAATAACATAAGCAGTGCACACGCATTCATTTACTTACACACACAGACATATATACAGGAAAACACGTGCGTTCACACCTGTCCGTCTCAGTAACAACCGCCGTCTCCCTCAAGGGCCACTAACATATTTACATTTCAATTAGCACAACTATTCAGCCCAAATCAGGCAAATCATCAAACAAACAGTCGAATCGATAACACTAGCTGCAGCATATAGTATATACTTTGCACGTGGGGCCTTGGCCTTAGGCTCAGGTACACACTCGAGGGGCACTCCATATATTAATTGTATGGTAGCCAGGTATGTGCCGCGGTTATGACCCCCATTTTTACCTTCAAATTTCCGCACCGGAGACCCCACTTTTTCACATATTTCCTGTCCCGGAGCATAGGCCCTACTTTTTTCCATTCTGGAGACCCATGAATTCTCATGAATTGGTCCCTTGGCATGTTTTCTGTATTGCGGGGATTCCGGTCCCGTTCTAATGACGCCAAGGCCATGGTGCTACCGCGGCCGCGGAGAGCGTGTCACTGCCTTTTCTTAAGTTGGGTTTACACTACCGACTTCATGCAGTCAAATTGGCGAATTGTACCAGTTTCACTGTTGTAGAACCGACAATCGGCAGTGTAAACATAAAGGTCGTGCAACCAACTGGCTGGGAGGTGGGGGGAGGGGAGAGATTAGGACAGGTCCTATTTTCCCATCTCGGTATTGCTGAATTGTATAGGTTTTTGCCATGCAGGCCACTCATAGAAGAGCAATCAGGAGGTGTGTCCCTCCACCTAGGGGAAGGACGTTTTTTTCGGCGCCACGCTGGCGGCATGGAATATGTATGCAAAAATGTGTATCCGCGTCGCCCCACCGTGTGCACACTAGGGGTCAAATGTTGAAACGTTTGCCGCCTCACGGTCGATAACGTAAGAGCTTTGAACATATATAGAGAGGTTGGTAGAAAGAAGAAAAATGCCAAGTAGCCTGCATAAAGTCGGTAGTGTAAACCCAGCTTTATGTTATTACCTTTTTCAATAATAAAACAACAAAAAGCAGTGACACATACGTAGACGGGACACAAATACAACGACAGCACTGCACTCACGGTGCATGTACCATAATTATATATATACCGTACCATTACTACCATGTCTGGTTAGTGCTTGAGATCGTTGAGCGCGCGCGGTGCACAGTCACAACAGTTCCACGTACACTGACGTGTGTAGGCTGCACTAGAACCGTGTATTTGTATAGCAGCAGTTAATTTTGGAGACTTCTTTTTCAAGCAAATCCTAGTTCTAGAGACCCCCTCTTGCAAATATGGCCAGTGCCGGAGACACCATCTTGCCAACACGTCCAGTTCCGGAAACCCTCTTGCAAACACATATGTCCAGTTCCAGAGTATCATGCTTTACATCAAACTCTAGTTCCGGAAACCTTCATTTGATGTGCTGAGTTAGTACCGGAGCCCCCCAATTCCATCTCTCATGTGGCACATACCTACCCTATTTTGTAGGGAGTGCCCCCCCTGGGGGGGTACACTCAGCTTCTAGTTCATTGTTCTAGTTCTAGTTTCAGCTGTACAACAATGGTCAATTACCAGGGCATAAGCTTATGGGCAATTCCAAGCAAACATGGACAAGACACCAAAAAATAAAATCGATGTCACAACTTTCTTTCCACTTCTAAGTTATAGCTAACATATAAGTAAGTAAACATAAATCAACTTTTTTCAAGGGTTCTGTGTCGCATTGTGCAAAGGCAGACCTGTTTTCCCAAACTGTTCTTAGACGCATTAAAAGTGAGCATGCCAAGGAGATTTCTTCTAAGTTGTATATTTTCTCCATGAAAGATTCTTCCATCAAAAGTTTAATATGTTTGATTAGGACCATGAGTCATGACCCATCTGTTACAATCCAAAGTAAATTCCAAGTTGCCTCTTCCATTCAAGCCGTACAGTGAGTGTACCTGTTAAAGCTTCAATGTGGTGTAATGCGACTGACCGAAAGATGATTTGTTTTCAATTATAGCAAAAATCCACTGATTATTTTATTGGCATTTCAAATATGCGTCTACACCTAATACCAAGTCTGAAATGACTACGGAATTGAAAGCTTTAGTCAGCATTATTTAATAACGAGCCAACAAGAATTGTAATGCGACTAACCGGTAATGCGACTGACCAGTGTACCGTAATGCGACTGACCAAATCTGATTTCAAGAAGAGGATGCAAACAGATCAGCAAAGCCAGAGATCTTAGTCATGACTAAATAGAGGACAGCAGAGATATGTACAGCTGCAGAGATGTCACTAATGAATGGATAGAGGGCAGCATTGTTTTATAAACCTACCCAGTACCCACAATGCACTTCTACAAAGCACATGGTTATAATATAAGCACATGTTTTGTGCTAGTCACAGTACTTAGGCAGTTTTGAACACTCCTGTTTTCACTTGTTTGTACAGAAAAAGACACAGGTAAGTAAATACAGGGTTCCCACTCAAATGGTTAGCTTAAATTTAAGGACTTTCATGGATTTGCGCGAGCTTTGGAGGACCTTCCATCACACGTGAAGATTGTGTTCTTGTGGTCCGATGGCCTGCAGTCACAGTTCAAGAACAAGTTTGAAGCTGCAGCAATTAAAGATCTTGAGAAAAAGCATGATGTCAAAATCAAATGGTCTTTCTTTTCAACATCACATGGAAAGGGGCCTGTTGACGGAATCGGGGGTGCAGCAAAGAGGTTTGTGTGGGA